TGAGTGCTTGACATTCTTGCGGCTGATAAGGAAGCTACAAACGTCATCAATCATTAAACAAAATGCAATATATCCCCTGAAATTAATAATATAGAAATTGAATTTGTTAAAATAGAACCCATAAATTTTTTCTCATTTACCTGTTACAAAAAAATTCTATTTCCCATTTTTGAAAATTTTGTTTGACTTATATTCATTTATTTTTTCCCTTACTCAACAGTCAACCTGATGGACTGTGTACCCGGGAGTAGCTTATCCGAGGGGGTTATTATGAAAATAACCTAGAGAAAAGTCAGAGCAAACAAGTAAGAGAGAGAGGCGATTGTACTAATGAACTCGAGATGTCCTGGTCCTTTACAAGAGGAATAGGGGCTGCTATTTATAGCAACAATAAATACGATGAGAGTACACGTGTCAATAATCTAACGCCCGAGGGGTCACCTCAATCGGGGTGGCACCGGCACTCGCATGTGCACCGCATTAAATGCGGTGGGTGGATGTGACGCCGCATTAAATGCGGTGGTTGCTTGTCTCCAAGGGGAATCTTCGATGATTGAGTTATTAGCTGAAGGCTCTTCCTGCGGCCGATCGAGGGCTCTGGGTAGCCGAGGGCGCTGTACAGCTGGGGGTTCCCTAGAGCCGAAGGCTTGGTATAGCCGAAGGCAACTTTCATGTCGAGGGCATAGTGCTGTCGAGGGCTCCCAATTTCTATCGTTTTCTCCCAGTAGCTTCGTATGCTCAAGTCTGGCAGCCCTGTGTGATTTGGAGCCTTCGGCCAACGAGGCCGAAGGCACCTATACGGGCGTAGTGGGCTTCTTGACACTTGGGCCATTGTGTTTGGGCCTTGCGTGCTCCTTGGGCTCATTGGTCCTGCGTAGGAGAAGTAGGAGTCTGTGGACCGGGGGTTCCTGGGCCATATACTCCATCACAACCCTACACATCCATATATTTTTCCAATTTATCACCTCTTTGTAGTATATTATCAATAACGACATTATATACAATAGATACAATATATATTAACAAAAACGATATTTAAAAATGTGCCACAAAGAGGCAACAAAATTGGAGAAAATATATGGAGCACACTGGCGTCTTCACTGTGGAGCACACTGGCATGATGAATGAGTAAGATTCATTCATCTAAAATATTTAGAGAATCTCCATCATTCATCTCGTTTACATGTTCCATAGTGAACATGCTAGCATGCCCCATATATTATCTCACAAAAATGTGCTCTCTTTTGAGTCTTAAACCCTTAGATTTTGTTTACTGACAAATATATTTTCCTGTTTTTTATTTTTGTTTTCCATTCTCCAATTTTCCGTTTTCATTTTCAAGTTAATCTGTCTCCAATTTTTTTTTTCTTTTTTTAGTTTTCTATTTTGAAATCTGAAAAACATGTTCATACAATTTTTCATCCAATTCTGTGATCGACCAAAATCGAGATCGAAATCGGACTGTCCCAGTCGACCTCAACAGTTAGTTTGATGAATTCTTTTCTCATTTGCCTATTGGTTGACAACTCAACGACTCTTTTAAAACTTCTCACTTTAAAAAATGATTTCTAAAAACCGAGGCTGAACCGCCGAGTCATTTACGGGACTAGCCCAGGACCGTCCGGTTGTCGATCGGACCGTACACAAACCGTCGAGTAATTTGTCAGACATAATGGGGACCGCCAGGTCATTGATCAAACAAGATGGGGACCGCCAGGTGGTTGATTGGACAGGACGGGGACCGTCGGATCATTGACCAGACCAAACGGGGACCGCCGAGTCGTTGACTAGACCGGATCAGGACTGCCCGACCGTCGATCGGACCGAAGAAGTGACCAGACAGGGACCGTCGGGTCATCGACCGTACAGGGATCGTCGGGTCATCGATAGGACCGAACAAGGACCGCCGGGTCGTGGACTAGACCGGACAGGGAGCGCCGAGTCATCGATCGGACTGGACCGGGATTGCTCGGTCGTCGACCGGGCCAGACTGGAACTAACACCGGAGTGGAACCAGATCCAACACTAGGCGTAAGTATGCAAATTCATGCAGCGGCACTGTAACATTCACGTTTTCCAAATTTGGAAAACTGGTAAAAATCACTGCTCTAATTCATTAAGCAAAACGGAGACATAACTTTTTTTTTTGTTTTGGAAAACGATTTGGTAAATGCAATTTTCTGTTTTCCTTTCTCCAGTTTTCCAGCAATTTTTTTGATAAACATGAATTCTGTTTTCCTTTTTACAGTTTTTCATAAAACTGAAAAACTGGAAAATATCTATGATGATAAACATGTCCTTAATCTCTTAGTCTATGAAAGGAAGTGCCGTTATATTGTTCAAGTATTTCTTCTTATCGAACCTTATACAGTAATTATAATTTCTTATTACATTGTTTTCTTAAACACACATACATATAGTGACTAGTCTAATTTCTTATAACTTTGTTGTGCTATCTTTTTAATTTATGAATGATATGTTTAATTTTCTACATTTCAAAGTTTGGTGTTATTTAATTAATTTGTGCTATTTAATTAATACACTTGTGGTTAGATATTTTGTTAACTAATTCAAAATTTTGTTTTTATATTTTTATTTTAAATTTTTACTATGATATGGTGACATTGATAGTTATTTAGTTTGAAAAGTTTATTGCCTATTGGATATCTTATTAATGTAGCAGTATTTTTTAAGAATCGAGAACTCGGTCCGAACCAACTCATTTCAAACGGGACGCGTAAGTTCCAATTCCTATTTAGAGACTTGATATATCTATATCAAACTTATCCGTAAATTGAAATCAGCAATGCTTGAAACACTATTTACATGTGATGAATGATGAGGTTTTGTAAGGCTATTCTGAAGAAATCATAAGAACAGTGTTAAACTCTACTATTCACACAATCTCGCCGCGTGACCCACTGACCACCTGGTGATGTCTTTTTATCGACAAAAAACACTTCATTCAATAATTGGAAGTAAATTCAGGTGCTGGGATTTATTACAATTTATTCACATGTAACAACAATGCATTCGGGGAGTTATTTATGGATCTTCCCACCATGGTTTCGTCTCATTATGAACTTTCAAATCAAAATTATTTGAATTTCAAAATTCTAAAGCTTATGTGACTCTCCATGAATATACAGTATTTTTCTAAGCACCACCACTTAGCCGTTAGAAGATTTTTTTAAAATAGAAACCTTTGTCATTTTATTATCTTCCCAGTTAAAACTATTAAAATTTGGTTTTTGGGTGATATTTTTCAAATGTGACGGAATTGTTTTCTTTGTACTAAAAGCAAAATGTTAACTACACATAAATACGAAGTACAAAATGGAAATTTCTTTTTTACCATGCCAAAACTTCTAATTGGATTAGAGTACTAAATTTAGCAAATGGTCCCGTACTTGCAAAAATGCTTGAATACGTTTTTAGTCCTGCAAATATGACATACATTGTGTTAGATCCTTGCAAATTCTTTTTTGTTTTCATCCATGTATTAAGCACTATTTCATTCTTAGTTCATTTTTAACTCTTAAACATCTCTATTTAGAAAAAAATATTGTCGGTTGCATAAATCTACTAGAAACTTTGGGATTGATCTTTTTAATTTGTGTAAGGATAATATGGGAGTTGAAACGATGTAAAACTAATTATTCACATTCTTAAAATATGTATTAAAATCTTCTAGAAATACAATTAAATACTTTTTTAATAACATGACAAAGAATTAAAGAAAATATATTAGTCGGTGTTGTAATGCGGCGGGTCACTGACTCACCGGGTCGGTATTCAGGTGATTTTTTAGAAACTAGTTTTTGGGGCAGTAATTAGGCGTCAGGCGAGGTAACTATTGTGGCGGGTCACTGGGTCGGTTGTCCCTGAGGCATATGTTATTGTGGCGTTACTATAGCACTAGTGAGGTTGAAACGGGATTGTATAAGTACGTGTAATATTGTTTTTTTGGTATATTTTTGGTATCTTTTTCTGAAATTTTAAAAAATCTTTTTTATCCATTAATTAAATTTTACTACGTAGTAATATTGTTCTCGAAAGTGTATACGAAGTATATAGTATTTTTGTTTTAATATGTGTATCTCTTTTAACTTTCTTTCTCTCTCTATTACCTCATTTTTCTTTTGTTTCTATATCAATCATAAACACTTCAACTCCTAGTCTTCCCCTCTTTTCACCCCATATCATTTATTTGTCTCACTCCCTCTCGATTCAAATGTAAAGTTATAAATGAGTAATCTTGAGTTTAAGACAAATGTTTTTACTTGGACTGGAATTTGTTAGTCTGATCTGGTCTGAACTAGTCTGGTATTGAGAAAAGTTTGGTTTCTGTGTATTTTATAACTATGGAAATCCGGTCTAGTCTGTTTAAGTTTGATCTGGTCTGTTTAAGTCTGATTTGAAACTAAAAACAGTTCAAGTAAAAATATTCTAAAGCTTCAATGTCATCCAAACCTTTTTAGTAATGTTGATTCAAGTTGTTTACCAATTATTATGAATTATGAATATGATATCGTTAATGTATTTCCAATTCTGGTTAAGACAATTCAAACATGATTTTCTCTACGTGCGGGTCCCGTTACAGCTCATATTCATCTAAAAAACATTGAATGACAAGATATCTTACCTGTATCATATAAGACCAAATATATTTCTATTCTCGAAACTGTGTATGTTTATCCTTTGAATGCATAGTTTAATCCTCAATTTTTCATTGCAAACACAAACTAAGTTTAATATACTTTCATGTAAATCACCTTAATTATACAAAATTCAATTATAAAGGATAAATTATCAAATATGTAGCATGCGTAAAAGTTCACCTCTAACATTAGCTAATAAAACCTCTTGGATTCATATATACTCCCTCCGTATTTTAAAATTTGATACACTTTTATTTTTAGATGTATTTAAAAGTTTGTTACATTTTCCCATTTTGATAAGTTTTCCCTTTATATATACTCAATCACCCCTTACAGGTTTGAAAATACACGAAAGAAACACGCACCACCTTCTGTCTAATTCGGTAGGATTCGTCTCCTACCCGACGCCTGTGCGGCAAATCTATGCCGCCGGCGGAGGGGAATGGACCTCTAGCCGCCCCAATGAAGCTCTCGTTTGCAGTGGCGCGGCCGGCGGTAAGGGACTGCTATCCCGGCTAACGACTGCACTCCCAAAAGTGCTCTTTCTCCAATATCGGGTTCCTGCGATTTCCGATCAAATCTGACACTTGCAATGGAGTTCCAGCTGTCTCCTTCTCTGAGGACGATATCCTGGTTTACTCCTCTCTTTTCCGTTACACTCTTGTAAGCACTTTTCCTAAAGACCGACCACCAATCTCTTCGATCCACAAGGCCTTTGCGGCATTAGGGTTTTCAAAGAAGGAGGACGATATTAGGGTTCCAGCTGTCTCCTTCTCCGAGGACGATATTTTCCGATCAACATCCGCCTACTCTGAACTCACATTATTTTGATAAATTTCAAATCAGATATTGATTTTCAAAGATTTTGGGTTAAATCGATTTGGGATTTCTTTGAATTTAAGATGCGAGTCACCAGATGGACTTCGTCCTTCTCTGGTGACTGCGGCTCCCCTTTTGTTCCTGTCTGCTTTACCCCGAACGGACTTCCGATTCACCTTCACGATCTGCGGGCTCTTTTCTCTATTGCAAGCTTGCTTGGGAGACCAATTAAAATTGATGAACCTTCTCCGATCGACTGTTGGAATTTGTATTGAAATAAACATTTCGAAACTTCTCCGATCTAAAATCTGGATTAACAATGGCGATCACGACTTTTATCAATTTGTTCTTTATGAAAATTTGCCTATGTTTTGCTGCAATTGTTCTCGATTTGGCCAAAACAAATGCCCTCCCGTAGTCCCTGTTATTGTTTCTACTGGTGAGACCATTATTGCTCATACAAAGGTAGTTCTTGTTGATACCTCTGCCTCGGGTGATATTGCCCTGTTGAATTACGTTAAGTGGTGTGTGATTTGAACTACACCGTCCCTATTGAACCCGTTAAAAATGATGCAACAGTTATTTCATGTTCTGATTTTCCTACCTCGATTGATATTGTGCATGTTGATGCCCCAGATGTTTCTGTTCTTATTGAGGTTGGGTGTGCTTCTGATTCTGCCTTTGATGCCCAGGTTGATTTGTATAACACTAGTATCGTTATCCGTGCCGTGCACGGGATAACATGTTTTTTATTTTTAATTCTCAATATATATATATATATATAATGTGTGCGCGGGGATGTTGAAATATGTATGAGTTATTATAACTAATGAAAATTCGAGTATATTATTGATTATAGTTTGGTTGATAATACTTTATATATTGGGAACGTCTTAGTAGGGGTGGTTCGGTACGGTATACCGAAGATTTTATCTCATACATTTACCATACCGTAAACTTTCGGTATGAAAAAATACATACCGTTACCATACCTAAATTTCGGTATACCTTGTTTCGGTATACCAAAATTTCGGTACGGTAAGCTACGGTATCGGTAAATTATCATGATTTAATATCAATATCAAATTATTATATATCAAATGAAATATATAAAATCAGTGTTAATAGTGATATACTAAAATTATTAATGAAATTAATTATAAAATGCCAATGATAACCTATTTGTGTTCTATTCAACTTTGAACAAAAAAATATTATAAATATGTACGGATACTTCAACACATGATATATGAAGATAACAACACATTCTGCTAAAATAATAATTTAAACAACATAAATATATTTGAAATAACATCGATCTCCAACAAAAAGTATAAATAATTCAAGAAACATGGATATAAAGTCATTATCCTTGAATTAATGTTGTGTTTCTAGTTATTTTTATAATTTTAAAGAAATTATTGGCTTGGAATTACGGTATGACGGTATAACGGTATACCGTTTATTTCCAAAATATATACCGATACCATACCGAAGTAATTCGGTACGGTATCATACCGTACCAAAAGTGTCGGTATACCAAACACTTCGGTAAATTCGGTATTTTTTTATATGATAAGTGCGGTATACCGAAATTTCGGTATTTCCCCCCCCCCCCCCCCTACGTCTTAGTTGTGAACTATATATTCTAAACATATCCTTAGGAATAAAATATTATCTTTGATTTCATTCATAGTAATTTCTATAATGTTTATGAAATATATAAAAGGAATAAAATCCACCTGTGATGGATCTCGTTCTCGTAGATTCTCCAAGCTGCTTCGTAGTACTGTTTTATTTCATCAATGGGAGCTGCCTCATCAGAACCAGAACGATTTAAGATCTTCACGGTTGCCCTGTTTGGCCCTTTATTAACATACTTGAACAAATATTTTATTGAGTTGGATTTATTACAATGCTCCACATTAACGTGCGCTTGATACCTCATCAAGAGGGTTGGATTATATGGAACCACATACATGTTGTCCAAAGGAACTCCCTTCTTTGAAACTGATAAACCACCATTTCTGCGCTTGTATTTTGGATAACCGTCCTCATCAATGACTGTTGAAGTCTGGAATGTCTTTGGGAAGAACTTCATGCATATGCCTTTTTGAGTGCATGTAGACTAAGGGTTAGCTGCCCCGCATGGACCATGAATCATGTAATTTGACACTGCCCTTGCGAGTCGGGGATAAACCGTATTGTCCGGTAACTATGCTGATATAAGCTTTTCGATGTCTGCACCCATTTTGAGTTTATTTGAAGGGCTCAACCATAGTAAAATATGTGCATGAGGAAGACCTCTTTTTTGAAACTCAATAGTGTATGTTCCTAAAAATGATTATGGAGGTATTCAATATTTAATATAAGATGAATGAGGAGATACAATTTTACAAAGTTACATGTGAATTTTCAAGTTTGTTGTATAATTTTTTTAATACAATGGATGAAGTATCAGGAGGCAAAGCTATAGTATTAAGAACTGGAGATTGAAGTTTTATCAGTTCATTGATATTTTTTAGTACAAATACATACTTGCAACTACTTTGCCGAAGATCTCGCCCTTTTTAAAATCATTCATCATATGGTTTAGCTTGATCTTAAAAACCCTTGACACGATATCAGGCCGGTCACTGGCAGATAGGTCTCGCTCAGACACGAAGTCTTTTATTTCTCTCCAATTAGCATTGCATGTGATCGTTATAAAGAGATCGGGGTAACCAAATTTCTTGCATATTGCCATCGCATCTTGACAATTATTGAACATATACCTATTGCCTCCTGTAAATGAAGCTGGCAGTATTATACGCTTTCCCATCAAACATATACGCTTTACTTTAGTACAAGGGTAAGACTGCGTACATCCGACTTCCCTTACCCCACCGTAGGTGGGAGCCTTTGCGGCACTGGAGTAAATGAAAATGATGACTTAAATGAATAAAGTTTTGTAACTGGAATGAATGAAAGGAACATCTTACTTTTTGGGATTGATAAACATGTGTGTGTGTGGGGGGGGGGGCTAAGTATTGACTCATTCGGGGCGTACATAATAGAATACATGAACTCAAATGATATTAACTATAACCTGCACTTTCAGCCTTTAGATATTCTTCAGAGCGAAATAGCAATGCTGAAGAAAGTAGAGTAATATGTGTTAACACCAATATAATTTTTACGGAATCATAGTAAGTATAAATTGAATATTACCATTTGGGAGTTGTACATCGGCAGGTACATCATCTGCATCTGAATTTGATTTTTAAAGTAACAATAATGTTTTCATAATGTAGTATGACCAAATGGATGATAAATGTAGAGGCCATATGCAATATCAAATATTTTTATATTATTTATAATATATACTGTTAAGTATAAGATCTATTAACAGAATGAATCAATTATACCATTCTATTATGTTACAGTATTTAAAGACTTTTTTAAGTGAGTATGAATTTTTTAAAAACAGATTTGAGCACTTGTGTTTTGCATAATACTATGAATTGGAACATACCTTCCGAGGTGGACGTATTTGCATTACTATTTTGATCTAAATTCGATCTTACTGAATTAAAAGAGGTTGATTGATGAATGACTTGGGATGACTGAGATGATTTCTGACCTTCATCATGATAATTGTGTAATATCTCAGTTAGTGGAACTTGTTTATCTTTAATTTTCACAGAATATAACATGGATTAAATCTAATATTGTTTGACTTACTTAAAAATTCACGACTTGAATTGTTCAAGAAACCAAAGACAGTGTCAAAGTATGATTGTCTTTGTTTCTTATTTTGGGTATCTAGTGCTAATGAATTTGTTACTTTTAATCTCTAGTGTTGCTATCATTGTTGATTTATTTACTGACATGCACTTTTGTTTTACCTAGATGGGGATTATTTACAAAAAGAACTGCTAAAAGAGAGTATACATATGGGTAAGTTGTCCTACTCTTACAAATCTAGGTCTATGTAATATAGATGCAAACTAATTAGCTATGTGCTCGTGTTTAATTGATTAATTCAGTTTTCCTACTTTGCTTATCTTTTCGATTTTCTTGATCAAAATTGCTTACTGCATCTGCTTTTTATTACAATCATATTTTTCATATTTGTATTGGCCTCAGCATATTTAACCTTTCAAACTAATTAGCTATGTTCTTTTTCAAATATGCTATGTTCTTTTTCATATAATGCTACATCTGCTTTTTATAAAACTCTATCAAACTAATTAGCTATGTTCTTTTTCATATGCTGAGGTTAATCTATCAATAAAATTCTATCAAGTATAGATGCATATGTTACTAACCTGATCATCCATAAGCAGCAACTCCATAGAAAGAGGAATTCCTGATTTGTTTTGAGTGTTATCTATGAACCATAAACGAATTATTTTAACAATAATTGTCCAGGTCTCCTTTGTAGGCGTTAATGCAGTTAAGAGATCAAATGGTGATGCCATGACAGGAAGTGAATTTGCAGTTATTGTTCTTGATACTCAAGGCGCAGATTCTGGTCTTAATTCTGAGCAGGGTCTCATATTCTGGTCTTAGTTCTGAGCGGGGGTGCAAAGTTATAAAACGGGTTGTGTTTGGGGCTCCGGGGTCGTAATTCGTACGATATATATAGATAAGGGGTTGTATTAATGCAGGAATCCTTTAGGTTTCTGGCCATTCTGAAAATTCGAAGTAAAAAACTACGAAAGTAGTATTCTAATCTGTAAAGGAGTGATTACGAAAGAGTTTTTAGGAGTTTCCCTGAAATTAGGAGGAAGAATATTTGCGAAGGAATTTCAATCCGTTTAACATGAATAGTAGTCGTAAAAATCTAGAAGTAATATGTATCATCTTGATACTTAAAAAGAATTCTAATCTTCGGAGAACCGATATATCAATGATCTGGCAGGTTAGGAGTTTAATTAGGAGTGGTTTATCTTGTTTTTAAAGTGATTTTAATATACGGATCTCTCTTTGCCAAATAAAGTAATATACGTATCTTTCAAAAATCTCATAGCATGACATGTGTCAACCCTTCCCTAAATGTAACCTTCAATTGTATTAATGATACAGTTAGAACTGATTAGTGAGCTGGAGTTATTCAGTTGGATGCCAGAGCCACATCAGCAGGCTTATAGATAGTTATATTTTGTAATAACGAGCTTGTTAGTTAGAGTTAGTTAGCAAGTTTAGCTAACTTTGACTAAACTGTATTCAATATATAGCACCCGATGTACTGAAGCTAAAGGATATGAATGATATGAAATCCTTCTCTTCTCTATTCCCTCTTACACTGAACACTCTTGTTTAGTTTGTATATACAATTCTCGTTGTCTATTTCTGTGTTGATCATTGGACAGCCTGGATTGTATTAATGGTATCAGAGCCCCTTTTGATCAAAGTTTGATAATCAAGGTAGAAAACCTGCGTTTGATATCATCGAAGTGAGGAAATATGGTGCAGACACGGACTTCTAATTCTGAATTAGAAGAGGCGTTAAAGGTAATTCAGTTGGAGTTTGATCAGAAATTGGAGCACCAAAACAAAATAATGTTGGACATGATGAGAAAGATCATGAAGAAAGTGGTAGAAATGAAGAAGACTAAAAGCGCATCTGAGGAAGATGAAGGCAGTGGGAGCGATGACTCAAAATCAGGGGAAGATTCTTCATCTGAAGAAGAGGAGAATGGAATTATCAACAAACCTGCATCATCAGAAGAAGAGGAGAATGGAATTATCAACAAACCTGCATCATCAAACCAAAATATCTTCCGATTCATGCCTAAAGTAGAATTCCCTACTTTTGAAGGTCGGGATGCAAAATTATGGATTTAGAAGTGCAAGAGGTATTTTACA